AATATGTGTCATATTTTGCTATATATGGATACGTTTGCCGAGTATTATCCTGGAGTATCTTGGCTGCAATCAATTTGCATACCATCTGTGATCCAATGACAAGTACGTTGTTACCCTATTATTGTTGTCTAGTGTCATCTACACAAGCGTGTCTTCTCTCTTCATTTTTTACTTGTTTTTTTTTATTCTCGTTGTGTTCCATGATCTTGTTTATAACCTGGCAAAGATTTTAAAGTGTGTACATGTTTCAGAAGATTATATTATATTTTCAGAATGACGAACAATTCATTAAAAACTTTCTCCTCAAAAACTCACCCCATCACCAATAAAATTTTATTTGACCTTAGCTGCAATTACATGATGAAGATGGGTCTTGCTCCAAGGTATTAATAAAGTTGTACGTGGTGATTTCCAAAATTGAGGATTTTTAACTTTTATTCTTTCAGGAGACTCAAGGTACTAGAGGCTGCTTCAGGCTCTCTGAGCTTTTTTTCTCAAAGCCTTAGTCCAGGCCTTCGCTACTGAATCAGTTCATCAATGCATCTTTGTTACCTCTCTGTAGCAGGTTTTTTGGAAGTATCTTCATATATTCTTTCCAACGCTGTCTGCATTCTGAAAGGAAATTTATCGGTTATGTTTAAGTCTGGCAATAATAAATTTAGAATTTCAATAAAATTAATTCATACTGACCATCTTCTAGGCTGCAGTACACGTCGTCCTTCTGCCCTGGGCTATCTTTTGAATTATATATTTATAATTCAACCCAAGATAAACTTGTAAAATCACATTTTTGGAATATTGTTTCAATAACATTGTTTTAATAACATGTCCAAAATTTAATACCATTCTACCATCTTACATGCTATTTATTGACTCAAACAAACGCAGTTGCTAGTTAAATAAAATACGTCTTAAACGTATTTACAAAAATCAATCTCTTTAAAATTTAAATTCTCTTAAAAATTAAAAAAATTTAAAATTAAAATTTAAAAAATTTTTAAAATAAAAAAAATTTAAAATTTAAATTTAGAAAATTAAAAAAATTTTAAAAATTTAAAATTAAAATTTAAAAAATTTAAAAAAGGAAAAATTTAATGAAGGAAATTAACGAATGAAAT